AGCATAAACCTTTTACTATTTGGCCCTCAGTTACTTTAAGAAAGCAAATCTCTCATCTTTCACTCTGCTATTATCTTTCACTTGATTTATGCTTTTGCAAAACCTTACATAAATTAAATAATAATGAAAATAATAAATAAATAAAACACTACAATGTTCTGAACTCAGTACAGCTCTGGAAAAAAATTAAGAGTTTTATATAAATATAATTTGTATTTTTGTTGTAACTTTTATACTTAAATACAGTTCTCTATAATTTTCTGCAAATAAATAATTATTGTAATATTCTTTCTTCCTCATCATCTTTGTTTGATTTTTTTCATTGAGAAGACACTGCATCATTTTATAGATTATAAAAACATTTAAACATATTAATCCAAATGCATACCTAATGGCAAATCCAGAGAATCACTAATCTTAATTCCTTCCACAGCTTCTTAAAACATTATCGGAACCTTCCCACCTGCAAGAAATAAATCACTTTGGTGGGTCATAAAATCTGCCCTTGACCTGATTTGAAGCATGTGCCAGGTTCTAATACAGTTGAAGTCAGAATTATTAGCCCCCCTGAATTATTAGCGCCCCTGTTTATTTTTTCCCCAATTTCTGTTTAATGGAGGGAGGATTGTTTCAGCACATTTCTAAGCATAATAGTTTTAAAAACCTATTTCTAATAACTGATTTATTTTATCTTTGCCATGATGATAGTAAATAATATTTTACTTGATATTTTTCAAGACACTTCTATACAGCTTAAAGTGACATTTAAAGGCTTAACTAGGTTAATAAGGTGAACTAGGCAGGTTAGGGTAATTAGGCAAGTTATTCTATGATGATGGTTTGTTCTGTAGACTATCGAAAGAAAAATTAGCTTAAAAGGGCTAATAATTTTGTCCCAGAAATAGTTTTAAAAAGTTAAAAAATGCTTTTATTCTAGCCTAAATAAAACAAATAAGACTTTTTCTAGAAGAAAAAAATTATCAGACATACTGTGAAAATTTCTTTGCTCTGTCAAACATCATTTGGGAAATATTTAAAAAAGATCTTTTTATGACCTTATATTGTTTGATTATATATTTTAATATATTTTCATTTATTCTGTTTTTCTCTGACAGTGATTTCATAGATTTGTCAGTTTATTCTCATTCATCCCAAGGGGTTTATGGGTGGGGGTGGGTACTAAACTTAACTAAATTTGGGCACAAAAAAGAAAAAAAAATGCAGACAATGTTTTCTCTTCGTATTGTTCTCTGTTTTTTCTATAACTTATATGTAATAAAGCATGTTTAAAATAAATGAGCACAATCCTTCATCACACAGCTTTTAAAATAATATTTTTAAAAAATGTGTATTTTCTTCTGATGATTAAAGATTGCATGCCAAACAAATAATTAAAAAAAAAATCAATGTTCTTAAAAGCTAGCACAGAACTTTATCTTAACTCTGCAGCATTTCCAAAGGAACCATCTGTGGAGTCTTTCAGCAGAACTGATAAAAGGCCACGAACATACAGTGAATGGGCTTTTTAGTTGAGGAAGACCTTATAAAGTTGCTGCCGCCCAATGTCAAAGAGGCTTTCCGTGGAACAAAGACAGAGCGTGCGAGCAAGCCTGAGGCAGAAGCAGCGGCCAATCAGACACGCTGTAAACATATGATCTAGCACAGAGGCAATGGAGACAGTGGGATGACATGCGCGAGTTAATGGCTGCTCTGGCTTGTGTGGAGGAGGCTGGCTCTAATGAATGGTTAGTGGACACTTTCATATAGAGTTAGTCATCTTTTCTAAGTAAACAGGCCTCCTACAAATGCTACATTTAAAGGTTCTCGTTTTATTATAACTTTTTTGGACGGGTGTTTAGAAGCCTATAGTCAACTGCTTGGATATGGGCATTCAATAATAATATGGTCAGAAACTTTTGTAAATTACAGTGTTTAACAACAAACCACAGCATTGCCTTAATACATAGCTATGGGGAAAGACTATTATTTACTATTAAGTATTATTTACAATAGTTTGTTATTTTAGATGATATATGAGAGACTTGCTTTGTTTACCAAATAAGTGGATCTATGGATTTGCATCATAAACATTAAATAAATAAAATAAAAAGTATTATTTTTATTTCATATATTAAATTTATAGTTATGATACTTCAAAAATCATTACAAAATTCTCTGCAGAAATAGCAAAAAATGTCTGCAGATTCTGTCTGGCCTTACTTACCAGTTGTGTGTTTGAGTAAAATATGATTTTTGTTTCAAATCAAATCAAATCAAATCAAATCACTTTTATTGTCACATCATCAGCAGGACGTGTGCTATGATGAGTGAAAAGCTTAGGTGCTGGCTCCAGACAGTAAAAAATACAGGTACAGTACAAATACAACGACAGTGCAAAATACAACGACAGTGCAAAATACACACAATACAAAATACAGATAGTGCAAATACAACGACAAATTACAGACAGTATACAGATAGTATCTGTAATACTATAGTATGTGTAATGACATAAGTAGTTTACAGATGGTATTCTGTAAACTACTTATGATATTTATTCTAAGTTTAAGGTACACATGTAGTAATTTGAAGCGCTTATGTAAATAATAAAAAGTACCATGCTTTCAGGTGTCTATATTCATAACCCAGTTTTCAATTGTTTAAAAGTTCAAGTGCTAGTTCACCCAAAAATGAAAATGTTGTCATAATTTACTCTTTCTTCACTTGTTCCAAACCTACACTTGAGTTTCTTTCTTCTATTGGAAACAAAATTAGTCCACCAAATATTGATTTTTGAAAGGGATAGTTCACCAAAAATATTACTCACCCTATTTACTCTCCCTAAAGTGGTTATAAACTTTCATGAGTTTTTTCTTTTTCCGACTGAACACAAAAGACAATATATTTCAAAGAAAGCTTGAACAATTAATTTACATATTATTTGTTTTTCTTTTTGATTAACTGGTTACAGGTTTCAGCTTTTTAAAAATAAAAAATCTTTGTTTGTGTTCTACAGAAGAAAGAACTCATAAAGGTTTATAACAAATTATTGGTGTGCAAATACTGGGCAAGGTTTCAATTTTGGGTGAATTATCCCTTTAAGAAATTAGTAGTTGGTGGAATATCCCTAATTTTTTACATGCAGTTGAAGTCAGAATTATTAACTCCCCTGTTTATTTTACCCCCAGTTTCTGTTTAACGGGGAGAAGATTTTCACATTTCTAAACATAATTAATAACTAATTTCTAATGACTGATTTATTTTATCTTTGCCATGATGACGGTAAATAATATTTGACTAGATTTTTTAAAGACACTTCTATACAGCTTAAAGTGACATTTAAAGGCTTAACTATAGGTTATAGGTTAACTAGGCAGGGTAATTAGGCAAGTTATTGTATAACGATCATGGTTTGTTCTGTAGACTATCAAAAAAATCTAAATAGCTAAGGGGCTAATAATTTCGACCTTAAAATGGGTTCTAAAAAATTAGAAACTGCTTTTTTCTAGCCAAAATAAGTCATATAAGACTTTCTCCAGAAGAAAAAAAATATTATTAGAAATAGTGTGAAAATGTCTTTGTTCTGTATAGAATTGTGTTGTTCTAAAGAACCCTTCAAAGCTTCAAAGTTTTATAGGGTTCTTTATTTCCCGTCTTTTTTTATCTGTAACTGATAAATTACCATTTTTGGAGTTTAACCATCAACACCGACAAACAGCACTCTTATAACAGGTGATTTCTTTATTTCTTAATACTTCTAAACATTTGAACTTTTAAAATGTAACTTGTTTTCTACCAATCATGTCTTTGTCATTATTCTTTTCTTTTATTTTTGTTTAACAAAACATGTGTAAACACCTCTGTTCAGCTGAGGATGTATTTTCTTAAATGGCTAAATATAACAAAGATGTTTTTGTCCTAATTATTATTTAGGTTTATGTATAAAAAGTCAAAGAGAAATCTAAAATGTAACCCATGACTTTTTAAAACCCATTGTGTCTATGTTTGATTCTTTTTGAACTGTATAAACATAATTGTTTGTGTATAAACACATGGAAGAGGCACTGTAACTTCAACTCATGACTATTTGTTATATCGTCTGTATCTGTTTACTGAAACACACTCATAGCGATGCAATAACGGATCATGGATTGTGAAGACATTTCCCAGGATCTTTGGTCTTTGTTACATTTCCTGTTTCAGTTTTTTTGTTTTACTTCTTTATGTCTTTATTTAAGTTCAGTGTCAATTGTCATTTATTAGTGTGTTCAGTTAACTGTTGTGGTACTGTGATTTTTACTACCAGTTTACATCAATAATAACAAAACAGTATCTAATGTTGAGTATGTATAATGCTAACTTTAGCATTTTTTAAACCTCATCAGAGCCTGCAAGACTAATAATAATAATAATAATAATAATAATAATAATAAATGTATTAATATTTATGAAAATAATATTAAAAGATTTTTAAGGTCCACAAAAAGGTTTTGGTAATGGTTCTGACACAAGTTGAAAAACCTTAATTTGTTGTTTAGAACTTTTTTATTCTAATGACCAATTTTTGTTTGTTCAACAAACAAGCGACAAACAACAAACAAACAAACAAACAAACAAACAAACAAACAAACAAACAAACAAACAAACAAACAAACAAACAAACAAACAGTAAATCCAAAAGAAGTTGTTTGCTTTTTTCTTCCATAACTTTACATTTTTGTTTTCTCTAGTCAATTCTACTTCTTTTTCTTTTGTTAAATAGACAAAAATATAACTTCAGAGTGACGCATAGGAAGAGGTTTTATTTAGTTCGTTCAAATGCTGGGGATGTAAGCATATGCCCTTGAGAGTTCCTGTAACAATGAGGTGCTTATAGGTCACGGACAGATGCGGCACAAAAATAATAACGCGTAAAATCTAAACGGAAAGTGAGAAATGCGGCTCTGGAAACACTATTGTCTCTCATCTACCGAAGACCCGCCCAGGCTGATCAGCCTATCGCAGCTGGAGGACAGAAGTGACTGAGAGCCGCAGCCACAAGGACATGCTCAGTCCCCGCTACAATCTTCAGCTGCAGACGGAGAAGAACGCGCCTTCAATACATTTCAAAGGTGAGAACGTTTGCTGTACGTTATTAAAGTGACCAGTTTATAATGTTGCATTTTATTTTTGTTGAATTATTCCATCTTCATGACGTAATCGCGGGCTATTCGTTGAAACATTAAAATGCTTTCGGGACAGCGTTTAACTTTTCAAAGCCCCTCAGTGAGAAAACGTGGTACAGGTATTCTTCAAAAACACGCGTTTGATTGCCAGATTTGCTAGTGTTAATACTTAAATGGAAAGAAATTGAAGATTGATATGAAAATATCGATTCACAGAATATCAAATAAAAATCTACGTAGTTTTGCTTTTGTTTACATGCCCGGTATTTTTACGATGTTTCCCACTGCTGATATTACAAAGGGATCCTAAATGCTAAAAATAGAACTCAATGTGTTTTAGGATTATCAAATAAAATAGCGCATTAACAAAAAAGAAATTAACCTCCCACTAGGGAACGAATTAGTTGTGGTTTTCTTCCTTTGAGATTGAGTTTAATGTTGTTTATTTTGCTTTCCGTAATTAGCAGTCGCGGAAATCATCTCCACGTAACATTACAAAACATCTTCGTCCGTGCGAACCGTCTGAAAGTGAGCTCTTCATCCTGCTGACTGGATGTGATTCAGGCGTGCACTTTTTTCCACGACTCTATTTGAGAATCGGCCCATTTCCTGGCAGGAAGAGCTGCTCCAGGAGATGGTACAGATCACTTCTGAACTGAGTTTAGTAGGAGACTTTAAGCTATTAAGAGTAAATGGCTAGCAGGTCTGCAGTAACGTGCAGAGACCTCGAGTCGATCCATTTGTGACTTGCTTATTTGTCTATCAGGACTAGTTGAAATTTTCCATTAAGTCTGCCAACATTTTTATTTGGTTCCATCTTGTGGTCTCTAAATTGAACATTGTGCAGCGTTTAACTATAATTGAAGTCTTGTAACTTTTATATTTTAAAATGTATTTATATAATTGATAATAAAAGGGATTTTGTATGCATTTTACACACGTTTTTAACATTGTACAATAATAAGCTGGTAGCAAATCATCCAGGATTCAAGAGCTCCAGATACTTGAACTGCTGCAGCTGTTCACAAATGTCTAAATATTTTGCCCTGCCTGAAGAAGGCTGCCTGTTGAAGCACGCTGGGTATCCTGCAAAGTTCTTGTACCCTCGGGTTTCTCTTTTTAATGATCGTGGTTACTCATTTTGTGTGTAAGACAGACAGATTGCATCTAAATATGCTCTTTGATAGTGTAATCTTTCTTGAGAAATATTTATAAATGTGAAAACAGAACTCAAGAGTGCCAGACAAAGACTGATCGTATTTACTTGTGACTTAAGCACCATTGGATGGTTAACATTTTCAGCAAGTATACACAACTTGAGGATTTATAGTCAGCTGAGTTTTGGTTTGTCTAATTCGTTTGCCTACCAGTTTGTGATGATTAAGCTACTTGCATTGTATTTTTTTGTAATTGTGTGCACATGTTTGTGTGTATATGAGAATCTCTCTGTATTAGGTTTGGCAATACCTATAAAGGCAATATATTATATATTTTTATAGTAGTTCTTAATTGAAAGTGTTGTTCTTAATGATTTATAAAATTAAGGCAATACTGAAACTGAGTGAAACAACAACAACAACAACAACAACAAGCGAAGCAAAATAAATACACATGGGCTATGATGATGCATTACGTTTTTATGAATCACTACAATCAGTCTTTTCCCAGAGATGGGTTGCAGCTGGAAGGGCATCTGCTGCGTTGAACATGTGCTGGCTAAGTTGGCGGTTCATTCAGCTGTGGCGACCCCGGATTAATATAGGGACTAAGCCAAAAAGAAAGTGAATGAACAATCAGACTGAACGTCATCAATAATAGACTTAGGATTGTTTGCTTGACTTACATTATAGTATTAGATTGGCTGAGAGTAATTAAATTAAAAGCAAGTTTGACTTTATTAGCTACTAAAAGCTCATCGTATATTAATCTTCAAAAAATATGTAATTCATTGTGTTTGTATGACAGTTTTGTTGTTTTTGCAAATATGACCTCTGTATTAGGGCTGGGCGATTAATCATTAATTAAACATTCAGAACCTATAATCGATCTAATTTTCCCAGGTTGATTTTATTTTATTTTTTCAATTACTTTGCCTACCGCATATGGGGTTACGTGACCCTATTCTGTTTCCCACAGCTTGCAGCCACATCTGATCTCTGGTCAAGTAGGACGAGGACCCTCTTTTGAGCCTTATTTTACACTACATTGACGTTGATTGGAAGCTACGCCAGAGATGCCTTGAGACAGCATATATTCCATTACATTAAAATAATTTTCTTACATTTAAATAATTTGTTATACAGAAGTCGCAATAAATGCACTGTTTAAAATAATAATTACAGGATATACAAGAGTTTTTGTATTTAGAAGTGATGCTGCATATTTCCAATTTTTAGTATGAAAAACACTGAAAATAGTGTATTAAAGTTATAATAAATATAAAGTTATTTATTAGGGCTGGGTGATTAATCGAAGTAATCAAAATTCAAATTCAGAACCTATAATCAATTTAATTTTTCCATGTAAATTTTTTCAATTACTTTCTCTAACGCGTGGAGTCACTTGACCCCGCTTTGTTAGGGCTAATTTTTACTCATTATATTATGATTTAGATTTCTATTATTCTGATATTATACTTCTACCAAGCACACATGCATGGTCTGGTGCAGCCTTCGCATACCCGCATACCTCTAAAACAAATGTAACTACACGTCACAATGCGATGGTCGGTTTGCTATCAGTGACGAGCGTGGATGGCACTGAGAGCTGCGTTTTAGGCAATGTGTGTTTTAATTTTAGTTGTTCAGCGTTGATGTTCAATAAATAATAATAGATAGTAGATAGTGTGTGTTCACTTCAATTGTTTTAAAATCAAGTAATGCACCCTACATTCAAACCTCTCTCACTAATATGTGAGTACTGTACAAAACTTGTCAGTGAACTATGAGGGCAAAAGCATAAAATAAATAGATGAAATAATTGTTCATTAATCTTAATCGCATTAAAATGGTAAGTTAATCGAAATTTAGAGTTTTAGGCCAAAACGCTCAGCTCCATTACTTATTTTCACTTTTTATTGGAAAAGCTTACTCTTGGTTTTAGGTGTGTTTAAATTTCAGTTGTTTAACGCTGATATTCAGTAAATAATCATAGATAGTAGATGGTGTGTGTTTCCTTCCCTTCTTTTAAAGTTAAGTAATGCACCCTTCATTCAAAAATCTCTCAATTGTTATTTGCGAGCATGTTTTTTGTACAAAAACTGCCAGTAAACTATAAGGGCAAAAAAAAAAAAAAAAATATATATATATATATTGTTCATAAGGTGTAATCGTTAAAATGTTCAATAAATCGAGATTTTGGGCCAAATAGCCCAGCTCTACTCTGTATATAACAATTGTGTCCACTGGTGTCTTGATTTAATCATGCTGAAGTGCATTTTAGCTTATTTTATTTTAGTGTCATCAAATTTGATTTTAATGAACCGTGAAGTGTTTTTTGTTAGTTTTGCTTTAAAGCATAAATTATATGGGAGATAATTTACCTTAGCTCATGTTTAGCTCAGGTTGTGGGACTTAAATTACACTTCATCGGGTACTTCTACTACAACTGGATACTTGTCTGCATTTTGTGAAAGGTGCCTTAGTAAGTCTACTCATTAACAGTAGTTAAAATATGTACACTAGTTCTAGTATACGCCACTTCCCTGAGGCATCTCACTACTTTGTTTGTGTCAATGCTGTCCATCTGTGCAGGCCTTTTATAGGTGCATAAATATAATCCACTTACTTTTTTTGATCGTCCGACTGCAGCAAAGTGAATCTCAATAATTAATAAGGCCAATGAAATATGCTTTGTGTATGATATGATGCAAGAAGTGCAGCTCCAAAAGAGATTAGAGGAAGCCTGGCAGACTGCCTTCATCAGGAATCATCTGAATGTAAGAGAACAGTGCACTACTGCTCTTGAATGCTTGATGATCTGCATTGTTATACAGTATCTATTAGGATTCATGTCGCATTTCCAATTGTAATTCAACTCAGAGGTGTGTACTCATAATTATTAGACATTACATATTGGATCGTTGGAGGTGAGATTGGCTTGACAGTGATATGCAAATTAAATTATTCAAGTACAAATGGGCTGTTTTCTGTATAAACAAATGTTCCGTACTTGTTTGGCTGTGAATTTTTTTCCTGTTGGGAAAAAAAAAACGGTATTAATGAACAATTTTGATGCATCTAACTATTGCTTTTATTTGGGATGAACATATTGGCATTTCCTGTGAACAAATCATTCTTTCCTTAATGTTCTAGCAGTTGAGCTACAAGAACTAACTTGCTAATAAAAAAAGAGCAGCTGCGTGCTGGTTGACTTTCAAATTTTAAACATCCATGAGTTTATATTTAGTCTAGTGTAGTCCTGTCAGAAGTCAAAAGCTATTTGTGTGTGTGCTCAATGAAAAGTGTTAAAGTTTCATTATTTACATTGTAGACTATGGACATGACGGTTTCTCTCAGCGTATTGGTTCATCAGAGCCTTTGTTGAGGGTGAATTCTGTAAACAATTCTTATTATAAATGACAAAGTGTAAAGGATCAAATTAATAAATAGGATATTTATTATACACTACAATGTAGATGGCTGATTCTGTTACAGCTTGAAATGTTTCAAGAGATAAGAACTTGGCCTGAAGTGTTTTATTTGTCATGCTCCTTACTACATCAATGTTTTTGGAGTAACAACCCTAAAATGCAAGACTGAAATGACATTATGATTATGACAAGGTGATAACCATGGCTACTATGAGTCTTCGCTTACCAGTGTGTTCGCAGAGTCTTAAAAAGTATTAAAAGTTGATTAATCAATTATGAGAAAATTAAGGCCCTTAAAAGGTATTAAAGTCTTAATCGTTTTTTTTCTAAGGTCTTAAATTTTGATCGTGCGTTGTCCAAAGTTTTTGACTCGAAAAAAACATAAATATATTTATGTTCCTCCTAATATTAACAATGACATGCTCAATCCACACGATTGGTTTGGGCTAGGGCACGTCCGGCCTAGGTCGTCTGGGTGATGTCACATAATTTGCAACAAACCTGGAAAGGTGATGTGACCCTCTGCACATGAGGCAAAACCATAGAGCGAAAATGACAGCAAAATAGAAAAATGTAAGTTTTCGTACTCCTTGTTGGAGAAAGACTTCAGACTTTGGAAGAGTTTAAACAGTGGCTGAAGTCTGTCACCGAAAACAATCGTGTAATTTAATCTTTCAATTCTTTATTTCTTCCAAGATTGTCTGAGTTTTGTTGCATGCTTGTGCTCCATTGCTTTATTTAACTACAACTGTTTATTAACCACTGTTTATTAAGTTAAAGGTTTGATACTGATTAGAACTTAAAGTGGCGATGAGGTCTTACAATATTCTGAGGAGGTATTTAAAAAGTCTTAAAAAGGTATTAAAATTAATTTTAGGATTCCTGAATATACCCTGTTAATGATGACTAGTTTATTTTGATGTTCTTCTTTTCACTACTAAGTTTCATTAATTAAAAAAGTGTAATAATTAAAGGCTAAATGCTGTTTAAATGTAGACATGTTATTTATACAGTTTTATTATCGATTAACTAATTAGCTTTTTTTATATTTAGTTAAATTATTAAATTGTTTGGTAGGTTTTACTATGATACTGACATAGTTTTTAGAGAAATTTGGAAATACCAGCTACTAAAACATTGAACCAACCCCAGTCTATCATATCAGCTTTCTTTAGTGAGGATTAATAGTATTTTATTCTGTTTCAGCAAGCCACTCAAGTCATTTATAGAGAAACATTATACAGTATATCATGTTATATTCTTAATTCAGAATCCTTTTATGCATTTCCAGGAGGATGATTCCAGTGACTGAATTCCGGCAGTTCACGGAACAGCAGCCAGCGTTCCGGGTTCTGAAGCCATGGTGGGACGTGTTCACAGACTACCTCTCTGTGGTCATGCTTATGATAGGCGTGTTTGGATGCACTCTGCAGGTAAACCAAATGACAACTAAATGTTTACTGCTCAAAAGCTAAACATCTTAAGCCATACTAAGACACACCAACTTCTTGACCTAATGGCAATGGAATAATAAATGACTTCATGCCATACATGGATTTCCTCTGTGCATGAACAGCCCACTGTTGAGCAGTTTATACTGCATAAAGAAGTGAGAGTTTGTTAACGGAAAAAGGCTAAATTCCAGTCACCACACACGAAAAGATTACCCCTCCTTCTGCTCTTGGTGGCCCCTCTATAAACACAAAACGACTCTCGTAGACCTGCTACTTGGCCTCATAAAATAGTGGGTGGAGCTTCAAGTGGCAAACTTGCCATTCCGTTTAAATTCCTCCTAGATGATCCTAATTATTGTTAGTTTCAACAAACAATATTAACAGGAACCCATTGTTAGGGTGGAGATATCCCTCACTGTCCCTGGAGGTGAGCATCAAAGAATGAGAAGGCTTTGAAAATTGTGACTGTATGTTCATCATGATCCCAGTGAAGGCAGTATTAATTGTCCTAATTAATTCTTTTACTAATATCATTGGGTAATCCCATGGTTCCAAAGGCGGAATAAAAAGCCTCCTCTTTGCTAAATTGCCATGTTTGACTGGGGGCACTTTGAGTGACCATGTAGTGCATAATGCACATTTTATTAGCCACTTGGGGCTGCTGTGCCTCGCATCCATTTTACTGCAGAGATGCCACGTTCAGAGCTGCTGATGGTTCATTAGCTGGCTTTACTCAGCATTCAGCCTGCCACACTATAGTGCCGTGTAGAGCTCTCACAGTTTTCCTTCGCTCTCATTTCAGCTGATTTTTTTCTGTTTCTCATTACCTTCCCAGACAGAAACTACATGGTAATTACCAGGCAAACTAAAACTGTTTTGCAGGAAAGGAAGGGGGAAGGGCACATATCTCGAATTGAAAACAGAATACTTTTGTTTACTGCTTTTCGCATCTCGTGTGGGTCGCTTCCCCTGCTTAGTGTTTTTTTTTTTTTTTTTACATATTGTTTAATGATTAGTTAAGAACCTTTTAAACTATTATTAATTTCCCTCTAGAATTCAAGAGCAATGATTTCTCATTTCCTGTCTGAGTCACAACACTGATGTCAGAGCACCAAAATAGTTCTTTAAAAGAGATGCTACTCATCAGATTGTGTTACATGGTTCGTAGCAATCTAAACTGGTGAGGGGTTGTAATTCAATATAAAATGAGCCTTATCTGCTGTGTTTTATATAGAAATGGCCAATTCTTTTGAGGTTCATTAGCCATTAACTTTCAGTGTTTTTTTTTTTTTTTTTTTACATGGATTTAAATGACTTGTACGCTTGAGGAAATTAATATTATTAAAATGTTCGTACATGAACAGGTCCTGGTCTTCCATTAACTTTAGCTACTTTTTTATTTTTGAACTTGAGGTTAACCTTGATGGAAACACTTCTGGGTGTGTAAATTCAGCAAAGTTGTTAAAAGTACAAGTATATCCACAGGCTGAGGAGAATTCGTTTTAGGTTATGGATTATAAAGAGTATTTACTGTCTGCTGGGAAACAGCTAAACTGACCACCAGTAACAACAACAACAACAACATCAACAACAACAACAAAGAGTAACCTGAACACTTTCCTAAGCTTGAAACTTCTCCAGAATGCTAATGCAAGACCATTTAGTGTAATAGTTTGTGGTGTCATTATATAAGCTAATGTGCTTATTTGATTTTGCATGTTTCCTGGCAGCTTTTGATAACACTTATATTATGGCAGATAATGGTTCCTTTTACAATGCCGTTCTATTCCACACAATTAAGGTGGACTTCTTTGAGATAACTTGCATAATGCCATTGGTAGGAAATCTGAATTCTCATCAAGTTTGTTGGAAAATACAAACAAACTGTAAATTGTAAATTATTTAAAATATGTGTATGGAAACTGAATAGCAATAGTCTGTATATACCCTTTTAGTCATAGATTCAAGATTTCTTTCTAGAAAGTTATTGGCCAGTTGGAGAATAGGGGTGGGTGGTATGACCAAAATTATCTAAAAAGTAAAAAGTCTTTTTTTTTTTTTTTTTTTTTCATGGTAACAGTATGTTTCACAATATTCCTGAAAATCAAGGAGAAAGGTTACAATAAACAAACATGAATATTAAAAAAAAAAAATTAAATGACTTGGAAGTGATATTATAAGGTAAAATAATCAACAGGGCTGTGCAATGTGATATTGTATATGTATTGTATGGACAAAATGAAAAGTCAGTTGTTTCATATTATGCTATTTCGTGGTTTCATATTATGCTATTTCGTGGTGTCACAAGATACCTTGTTTACTGTAATATATTCTCATCATTTATATGTGTGCAATATTACAAGCCATTACTTAGATGCAGACAAAAATACGAATAACTGCAAGGTGAGAAAGTTGTACACTTTTATTTTTATGTTGGACCTGTAATCAAGTGTTTTATGTGTTATAAATATTTATTTTACATTTCTACATTTTAGATCAAACATGTTTCATAAAGTACTAAATCAAATGAAAAATTGATCTGTGATACATTTCTAAGTTTATGCTTTAAAATTGTTTTTTTTAATTATTTTTTTTTTATATTTAATATTTTAATGCCCAGCCCTAGAGCAGATACTAAATTAAGCCTTTAATGATTGATATAACAGTCAATAAGTCAAGCTTTATATATATATATATATATATATATATATATATATATATATATATATATATATATATATATACTGACAAATACAAGGCTAAGCATTTCATGACATTATTGTTGGTGAATTTTAATTTAGTTTTCATAATTTTATAGCACCCCTATATTTGAAATAGTGAACTTGAGTTCACATAAGAAGCAATATATAAATGACCTGTATGGCTTTATTCCATATTTTGTCATGCACCACACCTACCGAAAGGCTATTTGTTTGCAGTGTAGATGCAAGCTTGATCAAGGTGACCCATAGCGAACTGTACTGAACTCAAATGAAACATACCGCTCAATGGCAGCGAGGCATATCTTGCTGAGGGATATTATACACATTCTGTATTCACATTTGCACTTTCAAATAGTCCAAAACAGTTTATTGAAATCACAGGCAAAATTTACCTCAGATATTTGACCTGATCTTACTATGAGTGATCAAGGCAGCGCCCACACTGCACATGTGTTAGTCACACCCACTTATTTAAATGTTGCAATATACACAGAATTATTAAAAAAAAAATATATATATATATTTTTACAATTCATTCTGCTGTAACCATATAGAGTGTCATGCCCCTATTGCAGAAAATAGATCTTGTGTGAACAGGTCCTTTTAAATAGTGTGGCAATTTTCAAGCTTGAGAAGAACAGTGCACTTTTTCTAATGTACTGGTAATGTCATTCCTGTAATTTTACTTCAGTTTACCAGTATTTCTGTGTGAAAGTGGATAGTGTTATATCAAATCAAAATGTTAATTTAAAAACAAATAACTACTCTATTAATAAGAATTGATTTTTGTTCCCTTTTAGGTGATGCAGGACAAAATCATATGCCTTCCTCAAAGGACATTCTCTACAAACCAGACAGAGCTGATGTGCCCTCCTCCTTCTTCAAATCAGGTTTCCACAATGCCTGTCTATGAGTTGAAAGGACTGAAGACCAACTTGGATATTCAGCAGTATAACTACATAAACCAAATGTGCTACGAAAAGGCTCTGCATTGGTATGCAAAGTACTTCCCTTATCTGGTTCTCATACATACCCTAATTTTCATAGTGTGCAGCAATTTTTGGTTCAAGTTCCCTGGCTCCAGCTCTAAAATTGAGCACTTTATATCAATCCTGGGCAAATGTTTTGACTCACCATGGACTACGAGAGCACTGTCTGAAGTTTCTGGAGAGAATCCGGAGGAGAAAGACAACAAGAAGAACAGTGCCAGCAGGTTAAACCTTGAAACTCCAATTGGAGAGGGCAACCTGGAGAAGACTCAGTCTTTAAGATCAATTCCTGAAAAGATTGTTGTTGACAAGCCAGCACCAAGTGTCCTTGACAAAAAGGAAGGAGAGCAAGCCAAGGCTTTGTTTGAAAAGGTCAAAAAATTTCGCCTACATGTGGAAGAGGGTGATATACTATATATGATGTATGTTCGCCAGACTGTCGTAAAAGTGCTGAAGTTTATCCTTATAATTGCGTACAACAGCGTTCTGGTGTCAAAGGTTAGATTCAGTGTTACTTGTACCGAGAACATGCTGGACATGACAGGTTACCGGTACTTCTGTTGCAATCATACTATGGCCCACTTGTTCTCTAAGCTTTCCTACTGTTACTTGTGTTTTGTTGGTGTTTATGGACTCACGTGCCTTTATACATCATACTGGTTGTTCTACATTTCCCTCAAGGAATACTCCTTTGAATATGTTAGGCAAGAGACTGGAATTGATGACATCCCTGATGTAAAAAATGACTTTGCTTTCATGTTGCACATGATTGATCAGTACGATCCCCTGTATTCCAAGAGATTTGCAGTGTTTTTGTCTGAGGTGAGCGAAAACAAGTTGAAGCAGCTCAACCTTAACCATGAGTGGACAGCCGACAAGCTTCGGCAGAAGCTGCAGACTAACAGCAATAACAGGCTAGAACTTCAACTCTTCATGCTGTATGGTCTCCCTGATACCATCTTTGAGGTGACTGAGCTCCAGTCGTTGAAGCTTGAGATCATTAATAATGTGACCATACCAGCAGCCATTGCCCAACTGGAAGATCTCCAGGAGCTTTCGCTTTACCAGTGCTCACTCAAGATCCACAGTGCAGCCACCTCATTCCTCAAGGAGAACTTGAAGGTTTTGCGTGTAAAGTTTGATGACAGCCGTGAACTCCCACAGTGGTTGTATGTTTTGCGGAATTTGGAAGAGCTTCATCTGATTGGCTCATTAGGTTCAGACGCAGCAAAGAACGTAACCCTAGACTCTCTACGAGAGCTCAAAGCGTTGAAGACCCTGACACTCAAGAGCAACTTCACCAAAATCCCACAGTCCATCGTAGATGTGGCCAGCCATCTACAACGCCTCAGTATTTGCAATGATGGCACCAAACTGGTCATGCTTAACAACCTGAAAAAGATGGGCAATCTTACGGAACTTGAGTTGGTTCACTGCGACCTGGAACGTATACCCCATGCTATTTTTAGCCTGACTAACCTGCAGATGTTGGATCTGAAAGAAAATAATCTACGCTCCATTGAAGAGATCCTTAGCTTCCAGCATCTCCGCAAGTTGACCTGTCTGAAGCTTTGGCACAATGGCATCGCTTTTATACCTGAACACATCAAAAAACTTGGCAGCTTGGAGCGCCTCTACCTTAGCCATAATAAGATTGAGATCTTGCCTTCACACTTGTTCCTCTGCAACAAACTGCGCTACCTCGACGTTTCCAATAACGACATCCGTTTTATTCCACCAGAGATTGGCGTCCTTCAAAGCCTTCAGTACTTCTCTGTTAGCTGTAACAAAATCGAGAATATTCCTGATGAACTTTTCTTCTGCAAGAAGCTGAAGACGCTGAAGCTAGGCAGAAACATGCTGTCTGTCCTCTCTCCAAAGATTTCTTTCCTAAGCGTACTGACTCATTTGGAGTTAAAGGGTAATCACTTTGAGATCTTACCAGCTGAACTTGGGGCTTGCTGTGCATTAAAACGCAGTGGACTTGCGGTAGAAGATGCACTGTTTGAGACGCTGCCTTCAGACATCAGGGAACAAATGCAAGAAGAGTGAGGTTCTACAGCTTTGATTTAATGCCAAATGTTGTAATCTGACTCCTTAAGAGGCAAGACTTCAGGTGTTCCATCCTGTAGCATGTATTGTGATCCATATGGGTGAGTACCTACAGTTTCACATTTAAAGCTGGACTTGTGCTTAATAGCCTTTTATTGCAAAAAAAGAGGAAGAAACACCCTCAAAAAATCTAGGGATGAACACCTTTCAATGCCTTATATTGTATATTATGAAGAAGTCATTACAATTATCAAAAGACTTTATCTTAATTTTCTAAGATAACTTTTTTGTCTATCAGAAATGGACAACTTATGACAGGGATTCATTTACAGACAATGGAATGCAATTCCATTGGATGTTTTCTCATACAACTGACACCTGCTTTCATGATCCATTAAGCTTTACAGGTCAAGTACTGTCCAACATGTTTTGCACTGGAAGTAGTGGTATTAGAATTTGCACTGGAAACTTTAACATTCCTTTTATTTTGCTTTTGCTTTATGCGTAAAAGGTCTTTACAAAGGTTTGAAGTATATATAAAAGGAAAACTCAGTTATTGTAATCATTTATTGATTTGTAGCAGAATTTTTTTTATTTCGTTTTGCATATTTACTTTCATTGTAATGCTTTCTGAGAGCATGCTCCTCATACTCTCCTTCATGTTCTTAGCTTCGCTGTTTTAATGTTAAACAAGTTTGACAGCTGTTGGTATTAGATTTTGAGCAGATAAAGATAACCGCCTTACAGTATACAGTAATTTTTATGAACTAGTTGTACCAGCTTAACTGTTATGACCATTTCTTAAGGGGTCTTTATTCTGCTTTGGTTTGCTTAGTTTAAACTCTAAAATCTCTGATTTGACTACTTAATTTTAATATATAATCGAGATGCAGAAGACATTTGTCTTTGCTTAACTTTAGCTTTTAAATTTAACTTTTACCTATCATGTTTTTTAAACAACAGTAACAACAATGTACTATAAAAGACATTTTAGAATTATTCATCATGTTATTCAACAGTATTTGCCAATTTAATATTGTATGTGTATGCTCTTTTCTATTTTATGCCAAACATTTGTTAGAAACATAACTCTAACCATATATACAATGTCTTTATGCAAAAAATAAAATAGTCTAGGATCTCTCAAGGTGCGCCTAGATAAATCAGGTAGACTTAAGTTTCCTTAGTATTTTCTCTCTGCTACTTGGAGGTGATGGGTTAGGAGTGTGTGTCTTGTCTTGAGGTCATGTAAATGATAATTACATTGTCACTGATCTGATGTTGCCTTGTGGGAGGTTTTTCGTCTGATGTACTGAGATCAGCATGTGGCCTTTTTCTACAGACTGCCAATTATATCCACATTATAATAACAAACAAGTATCACTGAAACAGTGTTTCACATGTATTAGGATTAGAAAGTGTCTTGGAATTTATAAATCTTTAGTCGTTGAAGGATACTTGAGATGTGTAGATCACCATATGTGTTTGTGTGTTGTTTTATAGCATGTATTGTTTTAGCAATAAACACAGCATTAGCTTTGGATCATTTGTAGTCATTTATTGACAGTAGATGTGTCCTGAGGTTGGAATGTTGTCCGCATGTTAAGGATGTAAAGGTTTGGATATGAAAGCGCTTCAGTGTAGATGTACATTTTAAGTCATAAAATGAAGGATGTTGATTGTTTGCAGTTAGCCAAAAAAAATGCTAACAAAACATAGTGCTACCATATGCCTTATTTTTTTGTATTGTTTGCATTCTACCAAAGTGTTTTTAATTTGTAAAAAGGCTTAAATAAAAGATTTTGTTTTGCCATTTGTGTTGAGTTCAGTAAATGTTTTGAAATTCTCAAGGAAGAGTTGTCACCCAGGTGGCAGTATTGTGCTGTAAATGCAGTCAGGACATCAGTCTATGAAATGTTTAAAGGGACAGTTCACCCAAAAGGAAAATGCTATCATTTACTCACCCTTCACTCTTCACTAATTGTTTTTTTAAACTGCACACACACACACACACACACACACACACACACACACACGCACACACACACACATAATCACACACGCACAAAAAATGTTTTAAACTGATAACCTAATTCATAGTATTTGTTTTGCCTAATTAACTATATTCTTATTGTGTTTTCAATACAATTTCTGGAGCAAAAAAATTGTCTTGAATTAAGATGTAATCTAATCAGCCAAAACACAAGTAGATGAATCAGACACATTACTGTTTACACTTGATGTTTAAATTTGTCTCTTAGATCCACTTTCTGGATTTCTTTAAAAGAAAAATCTAGTGTGCAAGTGTATGTTTGGACTATTTCTGATCGATTTATCTGATATTGTAAAAATTTGCTTACACAATTGACATATTAATGCAAAAAAACAAAAAAATCTTTTTCTCTTTATGTCAGTTTGATGGCTGCAGCCACGCTTTAACCTTACTGTTAGTTTGCTACAAGGGAATGATTTGCAAAAAAAGCCCCACCCACTGTTTAATATTATTTCAGTTAAAAGTACATCAACATAATGAAGTAAAGGTCTCAGCAACTTCCAGTTCATGCAGACTTCAATCTTATCAGCAACAGCTCCGGTTTCCTAACGAGTTCAAAGACATGCGCTATAGATCAATTGTGTAAGCTGAATTGTCCGTAGTGTTTGTGTGTGGATGAGCTTGTATGGATGTTTCCCAGTGATGGGTTTGCGGCTGTAAGTGCATCTGCTGCGTAAAACATATGCTGGATAAATTGGCTGTTCATTTTGCTGTGGCGACTCCAGATTAATAAAGGGACTAAGGCGAAAAGAAAATGACCCCCCCCCCCCCTCCCCAAAAAAGCAACAACATTGTTTTTGATTAGATTTAACTTCATTGTCATTACACATGTACATGTAAAAAACAAGGCCATGAAATGCAATTTAGGTCTAACGAGGAGTGCAATAGCAGCAATTGCAGGATACAAGTTATAAGTATAAGTTATAAAGTGCAATTATAGAAAAACTAAATGTAATATTTACAGTTGGATGTACTATGATGGATTTATTTAGTTGTTTGAATGAGCAGCAAAAGTCATTTTTTGAGTGTAGGTGGCCGTTTGTGCTGTCGAACACATTTAACCACACTAATGTTTACACTAAATGAAATCAATCTGATCTAGGATAATGTGTTTTCAACAACCTCTGGAAGTGGTCAAAAGTCGACAAGCTCAAAGGTATTCAAACATGTTTACACATGCATGTTTTACCTACTTCTGTTTACCAGGGCCAAGCAAGAGAATGCTAACAAATACTGATGCTGTGTATAAGCCCAGCAGCATTGACGTAAAAGTGCATTATAAATGTCTGACGGAGCAATCCTCTGTCTGATGGAGATAAGTGGGTGTTGCCTCTCATCTCGGCTCATATTCCAGCTTCAAATACATTTGTCCAGCCATGGTCAGCCGTTATAGATTTGTGTATTGATGCCTTAAAGGGATAGTTCACTCAAAAAATTAAAATTACCTCATCATTTATTCTTCCGCATGTGGTTTTAAACCTTTGAGATGCTTTATTCTGTTGAACATAAAAGAAGATATTTTGAAGAATGCTGGTTATTGGCACCCATTGACTTTTTTTTTTTTTTTTTTAATAAGGAAGTCAATGGGCCCCAGCAACCAACATGTCAAAATATCTTCTTTTGTGTTAAACAGAAAAAAAGAAACTCAAATAGGTTTTGAATAAGTGTGTGATGCTTTTTTTTTTTTAAAGATGATTTATCCTTTTAAGGATAAAAGACATGATATGGATTTTATCTTTATGTATATATGATGTACACGAGGGTAAACTTTTAAATTTGTATAAAAGTAGAATCGTTTGTACCATGTGCTCAAGTGCTTTGTGTATTATCAGCTTCAAGCTACAGTAAGCTATTTGACTTTTATAATCAATACTGTTTTTTTTTTTTTTTTTTAATACAGATTTCGCATGGTTTTGTGGCATGTCTTATGACCTTGACTAGCACATATACAGTGAATCCCTTTATTTAGAGCATATCTTGTTTAATGACCACCCTGAAACACAACACCATGTAAAGATCTGAGGCAGGCGCTTAAGTTCTGGCATCCTAAAATAGCGTGAATAACGACAATGTGTTGCCAGCTTGATGGACATGTCTAAATTTTGCCTGATCCCATGTCCGCACGTAATATGCAGGATTCCACAGACCAAATGTAGTTTGGCTGACTCATTGCAAGAAAACACGCGGCTGCGCCACCTGGTGGGACAACAGTAGTACTGTAGAGGATCAATATATTATTACTGAAAGTCAATATTTACTCGCTCTGATGCTGTTCCTGTGCCATATGCTCTTCTCTTTCCTTTTACAGACCACAGAGGACAAAAGATGGCCTCCTTGAACTTAACGCAATTTAAGAGCAAAATGCTTTTTAAAAAGATGGCTCCTTAATAATGGCTCCTGGCTATCATGTTTTCTGTTTTGTATGAATATACAGTGAAGTGTAGGCTACTGTACAAATTTAATAAAACTTATTAATGCACAGAATTTAATTAGGAAAAAATACAGCCATTCACTGATAGTTCATACAAAAATAAAACTTCTGTCATCATTTCCTCAAACTGGACTGGTTCCAAACTAGTTTTGAACACAAAATAATTTATTTTTCGTACTATGCAAGTCAATAGTTACCGGTTTACAACCTTATCAGTATATATTTATTTGTTTAACAGAATAAAAATAAATAAAAATTCTAAATGGTTTGGAACAAGTCAAGGTTAAAGAAACGATGACATTTAAATTTTGGGTGAACTGTCCTTATAATGTCATAATGTGTTCTAAATTGTCACTTAATTTTGTTAACGTTGCCTTTTTTTTGTTATGGCAACGTATTGCATGGGGTAAAATTGTCTTAATATCTGAAAAATTGCTTTGCTCTAAGGAAATTCTTTGTCTGATTTGATCATGGCTTTGGAAGAATATCCTTAACCTCTGCTCTTAAAGATAGATGGTGAGAAGGAGCAATACATGCATCCTGTACTCTATTCAGTATTTAATTTTAGTTGGAAATAAGCCTGAAGTGAAGTCAGTAGGAACTTTGGATTTACACACTTGGTTAATATATAAAATTAAATTGCTATGAATGAGCAAAAAAAGGATTGGTGTGTTTTTATAAGTGTCTTCTGAACTGGATATCAGTCAGAATAACAGCTGACGGATGACTGATATTAGAGAGGAGTCTGGATGCAGACCTGGTGCAGTGCAATCTGAGCTGCATCCAATGCTTTTTAATGTGCTCACCTTAACCCTCCCCATCACAGTGACATCACTCACTCTATTGAGTGCATTGTGTCTGACATTGCATCGCTGAGTGATGCAATCTCAGTTTGCATCATAAAGGCTGTATCCGGATACTACTGGATAATTTGCTGTTTCAATAAGCACAACAGATGCATTTACCAGAGATCAAAGTACATTTTTATTTATCTTCGTTTTGTACAACCTTGAAAAACCATGTTTTTCTTGGGTTTGCAGAAAGGCATGCTGGTTTAAAACAACACCCGGGTTAGTGAATGATGAATAGTGTTCATTCTTGAACTCTTCCTTCAACCCCGATCCTGCTCTGAAAATCAATGAAAAATAATTAAACAGAAGACTCCCGTTCATTTCTGTGTGTTGCTGTTGGTTTTATTTGAATGTTTTGTTTATTTTAAGTTTTAATTTTATGTTTCATTGAAATGTGCTATCAATCTGACAAGTGCTGGCTATCAGTTCTTTTTTTTTCAGTTTATGTATAATTATTGCAACAGAATTCTTAACCAAGAGAGTTCCAGAAACAATTGCTATATAAATTAAATTCTCATTGAAGGGTTTTTAGCTTTTAAAATATGTTTCAAATATCTTTTTATCTTTACAAAGGTTTAGAATCTTTTTTAACACCAAGAATCATGTTAAAAAGCGGTTTGAGGGTTAACTTATGCTTTTTTTTCTAAATTATTTTTGGTATTTTAAGGAATAGTTCACCCTAAAATGTAAATTCTGCCATCATTAACTCAAACCTTCATTTGTTCTAGATCGGTTTGTTTTATATTCTGTTGAACAAAAAGGAATATAAAGTGTAGTTAAAAAAAAAAAAACTTCTATTTTTGTTTTACAATGGGGTCAATGACATTTGTTCCCCAACAACATTCTTAAACATATGTATTTTTGTGTTCAACTAAATAAATATTTTAAAATGATTTAGAACCACTTGTGTGTGAGTAAATGATGAGGATTTGTTTTTTATTTTTTGGGTGAACTATCCCTTTAATGCAAAATTGAGCATATAGCGGTGACTAATATATAGTGCAAGCAGGATCATTAATCTGTTGTCTGTTGAGATTTTTGTTTGCAGGTCTAAGATTTGTTACTTTCAAGACAACTCAAGAAGAGTTCTAAACTTCACTATAAGCTGCTGACCTTGCAATATGATCTTGAAAATGTACCCTGAGGGGAAGATGTTCTCCATTCAACCATGAAGAGGCCCAGTGCAGCAGCTGTCAAAGATCTGGATGTAGGAAAAACCACCCTTTCAAGTTTGCAATTTGAAAAAATCTGATGCTAGAATACAAACTTTAGTTGTAAAATCAAAACAGAAAAAAATCTTTATTGCTTATCACAGGCTTACTTTTGTATTGTCATTAAAAAATATGACTACCATCAAAGCTAAAGCTAAGCTAATCTTTCACAGTATTTCCTTTAGCTTCAACCATTACTGCAGAAGAGAGTGCCAAGAAACGTCCTCATGTATCCAGAATTTGCCGGCGGCACAAACTGGAATGTGAGATTCACCTTGTCACCCTCTGTTTCAATCAAACTTGAGACTTGGATCTGTGAGGTTTTCTTTTATCAGTCCTTTGTCTCCCGCTGTGTGTGCAGGCTAGTCAAACAAAACATCCACAATAACCCGCATTTTAATGCTCAATCTGACTTAAAGCAAAAGATTCATGTGATGCAAGCAAACCCACAGGATCTGGTGGTGGGGGGGAGGCCAAAGTCTCTAATCTTATTTGCAACCATATGGCTGGCTTGTGAAAAATAAAAGATTTCAGATGTAAACAAGACTTGCAATGACATGCGTTTATGGTGAAAACTGACAGTGATTACTGCTATCTATCTATTTATGGTGCCTGTCAATGAGTGTTTTTAATTTACTTTGTTTTGATTTAAAGAATTGTGTGGCCATATTTTGAATATCTTTTGCCTTCTTTATTTAAAGGGATATTACACTGAAATATAAGTCTTCTTATTATTAACTCACACTCAAGTGGTTCTAAACTTGAATTTGTTTTGTTGAACAGTGAACTAAGTGAAGTTTTATAAACTAATTTTTAAGAGGAGCATGTGATATGATTGATTGCAGCTGGTCTCTCATCTGTAATCATTAGTGAGTCAATCGGAATATTCCAAACTCACTATAAATAGCCTGCACTGTAAAAAAATGCATGGTTCCACAAAATTCATTCCTGTTGTCCCAATACAAATCGTTTAAGTTAACTTAACACTTTTAACAAATGTATGTGGATTGAACACAAAAAGTTGTCCCAGTGAAATCTCAAGAATTGTTGTTTCAGCTAATTTTAATTAAGTAGTTTGAAGAAGTAAAAATAAATATTATTATAGGTCTGTCTAGCATTACCTTATCTTCATTTTTTTATTTTTTGAGGAGTGCTCTCATCCACATCCTTTCCTCCTCAGCAGGGGAGGCTCTCAAGAACTACCTGATCTCGTACCCCCTTATGCTCATTTATGCTTCATTGTCTTTGAGCTCAGGGTTCTCTCCTAGGACAGCATACCAAACCTGCTTTTATTATCAAGCAATATCTAAATGTGAACAATTACAATATTGTGAAGAATAATAGGGTAAAAACAGCCATGAACATCCTAGGAACAGACAGTGGAAGTCAATGGCTGGTTATTTATTATCTTTTTATAAGATTCTTTAGTTCATCTTTTGTGTTCAGAAGAAAAACAAACTCAAACTGGTTTGGAACAAGAGGATGATGAGTAAATGATGACAAAAATATTTTTGGGGAGTTAACTATCCCTTTAGGGTCACAAACACAATTATATAACCTTATTTTTATACCGTTAAAAGGTAAATATTTCAACTTGACATGAAAAACTAGCTCAATTAACAAAACATATAAAAAAAATGACAATTGTTTTTTTTTTCTTTTTTTTTTTTTTACAAAAATCGTTTTTTCCAATTAAAAAATGATATTTAATTTTTTAAGTTTTATTTATTATAGGCTAATTATTATTAATAGTAGTAATAGTAAAATAATAAGTAATATTGTTATAATATGTTATTATTATTTTTTTGCTGTTATTATTATCAATAAAACTATTATATTATTGTTTTCACAATTTATTTTACAATGTACTAAAAGAACTAGTAAATCCTTAAAAACTGGCTTGAGAGCAGAATGTATCTAACATGGAAAATGTGTTAAAATAGGGAAACTAAAATATTAGGGATTTCACAAAAATCTATATGTCTATATTTTATACAACTTCTAGAAAAGGGATTGAAGCATAACCCTATGGCAAAATTAGGATGACCTCCAGTTAAAAAGGGCGAGCTCAATAGAATTGAGCATTTTCTTATGATTTAGACACAATTCTTAGAACACGTCTTCAACCGTTGAACAGTTCAACTGTAACAAACGAGCTTTGGTTGCTTAGTAACTTAAAGAACACCGGTCAGGTGTTTCGCGCGTAAATCCTCCTGTAAACTTAAGCTCCGCCCACATACACTTCCTCTATTTGACAGCAGATTTCTGTTTATATTACACACATTTCTCTCACTCGTCATTTCGCACGCATGGATGTCGGTGATGCTTTGAGGTTTTTAAAATGACAGCTCTGTTTTGAGGTATGTATTAGCTTGCAAGTGTGTGTTTGTGGGGTGTAAAGGTGGCGGAAATGCAGTGTACAGAACTGGTGTAGACTGGTTGACTCCGCTGCTGTGTGCGCGCGGCACTGAATGTACCATAATAATGAGATGAGCGGGGACCCTTACATGTACATAAAGCCCTCTCGGGTAAATGATTAGTAAGTTGTCCTTTTGTACCGACACTTTTCCGCTTTAACACAACAGACCTCCAATGGTTTCCTGCCCGAGCGCCGTTAATCTCCACAGAACCACGAAGACATGATAAAACACCGGACTGCGTTCATGGGGAATATTCCGGTCCGCTCCTGTAAATCGCGTTCTGCTCGCAGTTTACGCGATATCGGAAAGTAAACCTTTGTCGTTTATATATCGTGACCCGGTATAGAAAGACAATGGCGTAAATGCGATCAAAATGACGTCTCCCACGCGAGTGGACCGCATATTTGTCCATATTACTGCAAGGACAAGTGGATGAAATGTGTTTCTCAGGAATTAAATTGGTGCATGGATGACGTTTGATGACGTTGATTTGAGACAGTAAGTAAACACGTTATGCACACATTTATGAAATAAACTGAATTTCGTTTTAAGATTATTTTAATAAAGATCCTCAGAGTAGCTTAGACTAGAGCAAGGTGTTTGGACACTTTAGAGAAGACTGGAGACACTGTATTGACTGTACAAACAGTTAACTTACACAAGCTAATTTATAATAAATTATATGATTTTTTAGGTCTCTTGTAAGAAGTTACATACGTTTAATTTTACATAATAAACCTTACATAATTTGCCTCATTATTTACACAATTTTTGGCAAACGTTTATACAATTATTACAATTGAACAGTGTTCATTAAAAGTGTTCCATTTACCACTTGTTGTTCATAGTTTTGAAACACATTTGCTGATAACAGGTTGAGCATTTTTGCTGACCTTGATATTCTTGATTCTGATCTCTTACACTTGACCTGGCAGACATGGACAGATGTTCAATTCCTAAGTCTACATTTACACACGCTATGATATAACAATAATGCTTTACTTTAACACACTGACCTACAGCAGGCTGAACGTACAGTATGCAGACACACAAATGGTTGCCCAACACTGAAATCTGCTGGCTAACAAGAAGAGACAGGATTGGTTAGTAGAATTGCCATTTAAAAATTCTGTTGGAGACAACAAATGAGAACAACAGCTGCAGCTGTGACCTAGTTATGGGGTAAGAGCTCAGACTGAGGTTAAGTTAGGCTAGCCATGATTGTAATTGTGATTTTTTTTTTTTTTTTTTTTTGATTTATGGTTGCGTTGCCCAGGTGAGGCGAAAATTAAGGCTTTTCATCATAACACTATACTCAGTCAGGCATAACAATAAATAAATAAAAATAACACTAAAATACTATGAACGACCACAATTAGTTATGCACTCAGATTTATTACTCTGGATCCCAGCTATTTTTTCATGCAAATGATCTATATTTATAAAATATACTCAATTAAGGAACTGTAAAGACTAAATATTTTCAGACAAACAATCAGAAATTCACATACAGTTAAAGTATTAGCCCTCCTGTTTATTTTTCCCCAGTTTCTGTTTAATGGAGAGAACATTTTTTTCAACACATTTCTAAGCATAATAGTTTTAATAACTCATTTCTAATAACTGATTTATCTTTGCCATGATGACAGTAAATGATATTTGATTAGATTATTTTCAAGACACTTCTGTAGAGCTTAAGTGACATTTGAAGGCCTAACTTGGTTAATTAGGTTAACTAGGCAGGTTAGGGTAATTTGCCAAGTTATTGTATAATGATGGTTTGTTCTGTAGACTATCGGAAAAAATATATAGCTTAATGGGGCTAATAATTTTGTCCTTAAAATGGTTTTTAAACAATTTAAAACTGCTTTTATTCTCGCCGAAATAAAACAGACAAGACTACCCCCAGACGAATAAATGTTATCAGACAAACTGTGAAAATGTCCTTGCTCTGTTAAACATAAGTTAGGAAATATTTAAAAAAAGAAAAAAAATTAAAAGGGGGGCTAATAATTCTGACTTCATCTGTAGATTGTGATATTTGGGATCTTATGTTTCACAAACAATTCATTTCCAAACAAAACATTTGTTTACTTCATATATTGCATATGTTATGTAAATAATGTCTATGTAACTAACACAAAATGGCAAATTATACCCAAACAGGTTTTCTAGGCACTTCATCATATAATTGTTTGCACAATGCTGATGTTGTCTCATACTGAACTCTGCATATTGATTAATGTATTAGAGCATCAAAACAAAGCCATCAAAGCAGTAAGGGTCACAGACCATTTAGTTTTTTTATACACTCATCTTGCAAATAAGCCATTACTGTGTTGTATTGCTTTTTAGCTTTAAAAATCTTGAAACTATTTTTAAGCATGCCCACATAATGTTAAACTGCAGAAGCCAAAGAAGCAAATGCAAATTTTATATTAAAATGCAAAGTATAAAAATACTCTATAATCACATCATATGAAAGTAAAAATAAAAGTGAGATTGTGCCAGACTTTGGGCTTTATTTTGGCATTTGTGGGCTTGTTGAAGTGTTGAAAAAATTTGTACTCGCTCTCACTGAGTGATGTCAGGTCACATGATGTAGCTAATTGCAGACTTGTGAAGTCTTCCATATGCATCACACGAGGTACACAAAGTAGACTGGTGTGTCATGTATGTTGAATGATGAGTTATATATATATATATATATATATATATATATATATATATATATATATAAAATGTTGCATAAACCGGCTTAGTCCCTTTATTAATCTGGGGTCATCAAAGCAGAATGGACCGCCAACTTATCCAGCATATGTTTTACACAGCGGATGCCCTTCCAGCTGCAACCCATCACACTCATACACACCCATACACTCAAACACCCATACACACTCATTCACACACATACACTACGGGCAATTTAGCTCACCCAATTTACCTATAGCGCATGTGTTTGGACTGTGGGGGAAACCGGAGCACCCGGAGGAAACCCACGCCAAAACGAGAAAAACATTCACATGCAAAACTCCATACAGAAATGCCAACTGGCCTATCCGAGGTTCGAACCAGTGACCTTATTGCTGTGAGGTGATCATGCTACCCACTGCACCACTATGACACCCATAAATACTACTATAACCAATATAAAATAAAAATAAATACCACTAACACTTTGCTCCACTGGTAAGCCATTGTGATTTGTATATTAGGATATGACATTTTGCAATATTTCAATAATTTTGATGTATTGTGCAGTGAACAATTCACAGAATTACACAGAATTAACAATTCACAGAATTCACAGAACAGAATTATTTTAAGTACGCTGTGGAAAAGCAGTTCTGAGACATTCTCTAAAGTCTTGTTGATTCAGTCTTTTGACGTTATATTTATTAGGTGCATTAATATTATTCACAGTCTTTCTGGTGGCTGTGCTCTGTTTCTTCTTTATTTGATAGACTCGTATTCATTTTTACTTCCGAGGGCTGATGTTTGTATTTTGCAATGAAGCACCATCAAAGAAGTGATGAGCTCTACAGATGTTCACACTTATAAAACGACAGATCTGCCAAAACAGAACATGGAGCCAGAATTTGGGTTTTGATTTGAATGCACTCTCTATCTGTGCCTTCATGTATTATGCATCAGTACATAATTATTTTTTTGCCATTTGAGAAATCAGTGCTTTTCAAACCCCATGGCAACATACAAAGAAAGTAGTAATTGTTGTTTACGGCAGTCTGCCTTGACTAAATAAGCTGTTGTGTAATTGCACTAAATTAGAGGCTAATTAATGCAGAGAAAAAAAAAAGTCTACTTTTAAAGCTATTGCATTAACTGAAGAAGAATGTACCACTTCATAGGTTGTCTTCAGTGCACCTGTACATGCACTAATTCTACTGAAAAAAAGTATTTTAAACTTAAATTCTTGCACCTTCCTTACGATTGACATGCTAACATCAAAGCCAAAGTGAGCCTTGAATGGAAGATCTTTAGGACAGGCGAAGCACAAGAACAAAGGGCTTGTGACTTGAATGGTTGGTGTGATGACTGAAAGGAATGTGATTGTCTTGTGAAGCAAGTCTAGACTGTTTTATTAGTAGATCTCACAGGCTGTAAATGATGTGCAATGGAAAAAAGAAAAATGTGAAGTAATACTGCATGTGATTTAATAAAACACTGCTTCGAGGAGAGTAACTCAATCCAGTAATGGATTTATCGTATTCAAAACTTTGACATTTAGGATTTATATACATAACAGCTTGATTAGCCAAGTGAAATACAAGTTAATTAGTCATTATGACATTTAGTCAATTGTTCCTTGACAATGAGAAGGTCATTCAATTGTGCTTATTGGATGTTTATGGGTAAGTCTTCGCAAAGTGAAAGTTGAGCTCCAAACATCAATATTACCCCCGCAAAATGCCTGAATATTAGAGCAGGGTCTTGCAACTTGATAGTAAAGACAACATTGTCTTTGGCCAGGCTCACCACTGCAGTACTATTGTGTTCATGCTGTATGGTATACACCCACTAAAACTGATGATTTAATAAGGAAGTCTGATGCAGTGCGTTATCTGATCAAGCTCTGTGCTGTGGAAAGTGATCTGGGACAGAGACACTAGGGTGTCTCCCCAAGCGATGGAACCATTTGTTATCTTTAGTGGTGTATTAGGCCACTCCTTGCATTTGTACATCGATTTAATGGAATATGAGAATGAGACTTATGTTGTGTCAAGCCTGTATTTCACATAGGATTGAGTGCAATGTTGAAACACTTGGCTTGTTTATTAGCTTAAAGGTTCCATACAATTAAAATCTGGACTTGCCTAATGTTCAATATATACAGTAGAAATGGCATACAGAATAAAAGAATGTTCTATGTGGAAGTTTAAAATCCGAACAATATTGACTGTTGTGATGCACATAGGATCATTATATGCATGACATACGCTGCATTTAATTTGCCATGTTTACATAACAACAATGCATAATGATAATAGTTTATCTTATTTTTACATTTTTTCTAAGCTTATATTAAACTTACTAATACTATACATGTGGGATTCCTATTAAAAAAACAAAACAAAAAACAAACAAACTATTTACATGGTTTTCTATATGCTGCTGAGTGATGCGGAGAGATGCCAACTTGCAGCACCAGTACACTCATAGAAAACAATGCTTACAATTTCGCGTCCGATGTGTTTTATAAGCTTTAAAGAGAAGTACTCAGCCATCTGTCAGAATGCAAAATATGGGATATACAACTTGTAATTTTTTTCAGTACCACCCAGAAGAGGCATAAGTTAGTGGTGTGCAATTAATCGAAATTCAATTTTGATTTTGGCCTTCAACAATTATGATAATTAAGAAAAAAAATTATAATAATAATTGAGATAAAACGTGAAAATGTAAACAATGTGTTTTTTTTTTTCACGAAGCTCAGTTTCATGTGGAAATCAGTGAAATAATGTTATATAAATTTTGAACATTGAACATGCTTTATTTATTTAAAGTGGTGGTCGACAGTGTATTTTAAGGTTTGGTTGTGTTCATAAGATCACTTTCCACAGCAATGCATGCTAATGCTTCACTTGTGGTAGATCATGTTTTTTTTATTTATTTATTTATTCATTTATTACTTTTACTTACTTTGTTTATATACAGTTACTCAGCTAACATAAAAAAAATCACATTTTTCTACCCACATAGAAAAATATCTCTGGCCCAGCTATGGCCCACTCAGTCAGCTTTTGCTTGGAATTACGGTACATGGCTGGACCAAGTCTGGCATCCAGACAAGGGCCAAACATGTTTTGTTATGTAACCTTTTACAAGATGTAAGATAAGGTTTGGTGACTTTGGTGTCTCCAGAATGTGTCTGTAAAGTTTGAGCTCAAAATACCTATAAGGATATTTATTTTATAATACAGAATCTGCCCATTGTGGTGTCTGTGACAATGTAGCTCTTTTTGTAGCCTGTGGTTTAAATCCAAATGACTTCTCCCTGTTAAATCCTGCTTCTCCCTGGCCACTGCTCTGATGCGCAAGTCTGCTACTCGTGTTATGTCAGATAAACAGCCATCAGTGATAGAGACATGGATGAAGCTGACAAAATATCACTAGTCAAAAATATCAAGTAAGTTTTTTTGATGTATTTGTGGTGGAGTCTACTCAAGCCTTTCTGAAACGATGAGTCACACAAAAATGCCATTTGCAGTACACACACATATGAGCATTTACTGACACCATGCAGCCATGGCGATTATAGTGGTTAAGAATTCCATAGCTATTTTACTCTTTATTACCAACATGCAACATGTTTTGAAAACTTGAAAAACTTGTTGTAAAAACTTATGAAATTAATTATCCAGGTACAGTTAATCACAGGGAGTTGTACCATATGTTTTAATCTCAGTTTCTTTTGCAAAAAATATTTTGTGGACGTGTATACGTTATTATAGATGTGTTTGTTCAAGTTAGAGTAAGATTTTGTTTTGTATTTTGTCTTATACATAAAATACTATTTATTCTGAATATCTCTGAACCAATATGTTTTCTTTTTTAATTTTGTAATTTAGATTTTATTTGTCATTTATAATACTATATACTAAACACTTGATTTTTATGTCTTCAGGAATGTTTACCCTCACAGAAGTTGCCTCTCTAAATGATATCCAGCCAACTTATAAGATACTGAAACCATGGTGGGACGTCTTTATGGATTACTTGGGTGTGGTCATGCTTATGCTGGCCATATTTGCCGGGACCATGCAGATAACCAAAGATCAGGTGGTTTGCCTTCCTGTTCTAGAATCATTGGAGGACCAAGCCCCTGTGCCCACAGAAAGGCCACCAGGCAAAGCTTTTGGCTCAGGGACAGGAGGAGGCCATGTGACACTGGCAGCTGCACCTTTAGCAAGCAACGAACAAACCGACAGTGTTGTCCAACACTTCCCACAGTCGTCTGCTGTCAGGCAACCTCAGCCCACGGGTTTACGAACAAATCTGGATTTTCAGCAGTATGTCTTTGTAAATCAGATGTGCTACCATGTTGCCCTCCCATGGTATTCAAAGTACTTTCCATATCTAGCTCTCATTCACACAATTGTTCTTATGGTAAGCAGTAACTTTTGGTTCAAGTATCCAAAGACCAGTTCCAAAATTGAGCATTTTGTGTCTATTTTGGGTAAGTGTTTTGAGTCTCCTTGGACAACCAAAGCATTGTCTGAGACGGCCTGTGAAGACTCAGAAGAGAATAAACAGAGATTGACTGGAGCCTCTACATTACCAAAGCATCTTTCAACCAGCAGTGAGGAGGGAAGTCCAAATCAGTCCACGCCAATGCTTGCAAAATCTAGCATTAAATTTTCTGCAGAGAAGCCTGTCATTGAAGTTCCAAGCATGACTATACTTGACAAGAAAGATGGAGAGCAAGCTAAAGCCCTTTTTGAGAAAGTGAGGAAATTTCGCACACATGTTGAAGACAGCGACACGATCTACAAACTCTATGTAGCTCAAACTATTATTAAAACTGTCAAATTTATTCTGATTCTGTGTTACACCATGACCTTTGTCACCTCCATTAAATTCGACCATGATTGTGAGCCAGAAATTAAGCATTTGACTGGATACAACAAATTTAAATGCACCCACAACATGGCTTTCATGTTGAAAAAGCTCCTTGTTAGCTACATTGTCCTCATTTTCGTTTATGGCCTGGTTTGCATTTACACTCTTTTTTGGCTGTTTAGACGGCCACTTAAGGAATACTCATTTGAAAAGGTTAGAGAAGAAAGCAGTTTTAGTGACATCCCAGATGTGAAAAATGACTTTGCTTTCCTCCTTCACATGGTCGACCAGTATGACCAGCTGTACTCGAAACGTTTTGGTGTCTTTCTCTCAGAGGTAAGCGAGAACAAACTGAGGGAAATCAGCTTAAATCATGAGTGGACCTTTGAGAAACTACGGCAACACGTGACTCGCAATGCACAGGATAAGCTTGAGCTGCATCTTTTCATGCTCTCGGGTGTTCCTGATGCAGTTTTTGACCTCACTGATATAGAGGTCCTAAAACTGGAACTCATCCCAGAGGCACGTATCACAGCAAAAATTTCCCAGATGATAAACCTCACCGAATTGCACTTTTACCACTGTCCCGCCAAAGTTGAACAGACTGCATTCAGTTTCCTCCGCGATCACCTCCGGTGCCTTCACGTCAAGTTTACGGATGTAGCAGAGATTCCCACTTGGGTTTACATGCTGAAGAACTTAAGAGAGCTCTACTTGGTGGGAAACTTGAACTCTGAGAATAACAAAATGATAGGATTAGAGTCCCTCAGGGACTTGAGGCATCTAAAGGTCCTACATCTGAAGAGCAACCTTACCAAGATCCCAACTAACATTACAGACTTATCACCCCACCTGATCAAACTTGTGGTTCACAACGATGGTACTAAACTCTTGGTGTTAAATAGCTTGAAAAAGATGATGAACCTTTCTGACCTGGAGCTGCACAATTGTGAACTGGAGAGGATACCGCATGCAATTTTTAGCTTGACCAACCTGCAGGAGTTGGACTTAAAATCGAACAACATCCGCACCATTGAAGAGGTCATTAGCTTCCAGCACCTCAAAAGACTTAACTGCCTCAAACTGTGGCACAATAAAATCATTTCCATTCCTTTGTCCATTAGTCACGTAAAAAACCTAGAGTTCCTTTATCTGTCACATAACAAACTAGAGTCCTTGCCTACTACTCTGTTCAATCTACTTAAACTGAGATACCTGGATGTTAGTCACAACTCCATTGTGGTGATTCCTCCGGAGGTTGGGTTTCTCCAGAATCTACAGCACTTTGCCATCACTGGCAACAAGGTGGAAGTGGTGCCCAAGCAGCTGTTCAAATGCACAAAGTTGCGTACCTTGTCCCTTGGGCACAACTGCATCTCGTCGCTGCCAGAGAAAATTGGACAGTTGCTTCAGCTGACTCATCTTGAGCTGAAGGGGAACTGCCTGGATCGGCTGCCTGCACAGCTCGGCCAGTGCAGGCTCTTGCGTAGAAATGGCCTCACTGTGGAAGACCACCTTTTTGACTCGTTGCCCCTAGAGGTCAAAGAGAGCATAAGTCAGGAAATCACTGCAACTTATGCTAACGGAGTGTGATCATGATTCACATAAAAAAAAAAAAACAATTTGAAAGAACAGTCATGGTATTTCTATCAGTTTAACACAATTAAAAAGCGCAAGAGGCAATGTTTCAGAATCCTGCTGTTTTTTTTTAGGTTTTGTCCACATGAAGACATTTTTAATCCAGGACTGCGGGCATGAATGGATGTTCCAGGTATGAAGAATGAGTCCAGTATCAAAGTTTATGTTAACAGTTGTTATCACTTTCTGCACAGGCCAAAACAAACTGCCTGTAAGCCAATGTTAAAATCTTTTGGACCTTTTTGAGAATCATTATGCCTGTCTACATGGGGATTTTGTTCTTTTTTTAATTTGAATTGTTATTATTTTCCCATGTTACAGTACAATAATACAGTACAACCATTTTTCAGTAGCATTTTTGTTCATTCATGTTTTCACCTGCTGTTATGCGCACAGTCTGCATCGCATGCCATGTGCATTGTGGTGCCATTAATGATTGTATTTTTTCCTTTGCGAAAACCCAGAACAACTTACATTTATTACAAAGTCAATTACAAATACTGTATTTGACTAAGTGGTAAAAGAAAAAAGTGAAGGAAGGAATTCTCATTTGGGGTTAGTAAAACGTGCACTAAAGTATTAATAACTGAATGTTTCCGTCAAAACAAAGTTACCATGTCCACCCAGGATCGATCAAACTGTTATTGTATATGTTATTCTTCGGTTAATGTCCATCTTTCTTTAATGATATTGTCCACCTATTCAGTTTCTAATAACCAAAATATTTTGAACTAAAAAACAATGTTCTGTGTTGAAAATGTACCAGTGTGTTTGCATTCAATTTGGGTTTGAAGATGCACAAACTAAAGGTAATCATTTGCACTGCACTGCAAGTCCTGGCAATAAATTAACTTTTCCTTCTAACATAATCTTCAATGTGGGTTACAGAAGTACTGATTAAGTTATGGCGACTTGCATGTTTTGTATATAACACTATATTATGACGGGACAGACCAGTAATGTGTATACATGTCCTTGCTGATCAAAACCTCTGATAGACATGTATAGTAAACTTGCCCTGATATTTAGTCTAACATCATATCTTTGTCTGTAAACGTGTATGACATCTGCTTAACTGTTAGCCATTGATGGCTAGTTAAAGTAATGGAAATGCTTGCATTGTGTGATTGTTTCAAGTTACCTTGCTGTTGACATACTGTGCATGGCCATGCAGTCGGCTTTTGAGGCAAATGCACAAAAAGGTGACTTGCCAAATGTTAGTAATCAATTTTCAACCAAGTGATGGGATTAAGTGTTAGATTATCCTAACCTAAACTTTTATTTTGTTTGATTTTCTTAGTGAAATAAAAAAAAAATCTGTTGTCAAGATTTGAAGGAAAAGTTCAGCCAAAACCTATTTGTAACTTTGTATACTCCGCTTAATGTCATTCCAGACATATTCTTCTTTATATATTCTTTCTTTTATAGACAGCCAAACCTGACATTATTCATACCACTGGCAAATTCTGACATAAAGTTAAAGTTACTTTTATTCGACCAGCTTTTATTTTATTCATTTAATTTTTTTTTTCGAGAAGAAATGACACAGGCTTCCTCCAGAGTTACATGAGGCATCAATGGTAAAAAAATAAATAAATAAATAAAAATTGCCAGTGGTATGAATAATTTCAGGCTTGACAATGTATTTTACAATAGTTGAATACCCAATCCCACATAGAAATCTGATATATGTCAATATATTTTCAAATTACATACAGTATGTGACATACAAGTTCTTATTTAAATTTGACATTTTTACATTTATATGTCATGTGTGCAACATATTATTCAAAATATTGCAAAAAATGCTGCTTTCATATATATATGTATATATATATATATGTATATATATACATATATGTATATATATGTATATATACATATATGTGTATATATATATATATGTATATATATATATATATATATATATATATATATATATGTGTGTGTGTGTGTATATATATATATATATATATATATATATATATATATATATATATATATATATATATATATATATATATATATTATTGCCATACGAACACACACAAATAATGAATTTGAACAATATGTTATTAGCTGCAATATTGAAATATTTGCATATATTTTCATGTATACAATTTCTATATGGGTTCAGAATGACACGAGGATGAGTAAATGTGACAAATTTTTAATTGTAGAAACTTTACACTTTCTACAAGTTATCAGGCTATAATAACTAAAACGCTTTCACTTTTGCACCCTAATAACATTTTATAATTTTTTTATTTGATTTGTATGAAGAGTAAGTGCATATGTTTGCTAGATCTCTTGAAATTTAAAAGATATTCATAATATTTGTCTTATTTATTGAAGCACTTGATGTTAACATGACGGATTAAGCGTTGTTTGCTTTTAAACCATTAATTTGTTTATGAAAGATTTGTAAAGATTGGATGACATTTCGACTCTGATGTGTGTGGACTGCAGGGTTTATAGTAATTAAATAATTTGAATAATGTCCTGTTTACTTTAAAAGCATAACATTTCAGACCAAACCAAAATGAGTTCAAAAGGACAAACATATTTTTTTGTCTTATTCACATTTCACAGGAGAGTTGTGTTGTCATTTTGTGGAATTGCTTTTCCCACAGTTATATTTGTCCCCCTGAAATGCTGCTGGGTCTGACCTGTAATTGGTATCTTTGTGACCCCTCAAGAATCTCAAAACATGTTGATGTCTTGCCAGCTGAGGCATGAAAATCATTTGTGGTTCATGTGTGACTAATAATAATTATAACCACATATGAATCTAAAGATGAGTTTCAGTGTTTTAGGTGATTTGAAATTATATTACTGGGTTTTGTTAAATGTAATTTCATGTTGCACTGTCAAAAATTGTTCTGTTTGATGTTTTCAATGGAAGTTTTTTTTTTATGTAGAGAATTATTAATTTGTTCACTTTTTTGTCTATTAATAGTTTAACTGCGATGTACCTATTTAAAATGATTCCACCAAAAAAATACATTGTGTCCTTTCAGGTACACTGAACACAAATTCATTCCAGCAAAGTATGTTTGTGTTTAAGAATGAAGGCAACTTTTTGTTTTATTTATCTGCAAATGTTTTGAGGTAAATTGCTCTTCAGCCCTGAATGTAGCCTTATTTGCGTCCCTTCATTTAGACTACATTTTTGATGGAAAGGAGAATGAAGTTAGTCTGCTTTGCTCCTAATCACGTTTCGTTTGAAGATATGTTGAATTTGCAATTTTAGTACAATAAACACATCAAAAACAAATACCTCAGTTTGTGCTGTTTTAATTGTCGCTAATGGTTTCGACTTGCAATATCTAGACCAGAGACGCCTTAAGTAGGGCCCGTGGGCCAAATTTGGACCATTGTAACCTTTGATTTGACCCACTATCCTATCTTAGAAGAGAGTGAGAATAGTGGGGAGGGTTGGTGTGTTTTATTTCTGAGCTACAAAAAAAGCGCATTGAATTTAAATGCTTCAATTAAATGTAAATGAATCTGATTTTCTAAAAATGTAAATACTGTCTCTCAACGAACAGAGGAATACATAGGGAAATTACCCATGGCAATTATACGTATATCCAGCCCACTAGCATCAATCAAGTTGGGTTTTTGGCACTTCTTAAGAAAAAGTTTGGGCTCTGGTCTAGGATATGTTGTTCAGTCTTATTCAGTCGAATTCTTGTCTTTTAGCGCCCTCTAGAGGTGACAGACAATAACCTTTCCTGCTATGCGTGAATAGTGAAGGTGAATAGTATTTGACCATGATGTAGTTCAGCACTGAATTGGGCAGAAATTTGTTGGCATGAAAGTGTCTTATTTTATGATTCACGTAGAATAAAACAGTAGTTCTCATATTTACAAATCCAGTGTTTTTTTTTTTTTTTATATGAAACCAATTGTATTGTCTGTGACAGGTATACATTACTGCTAAACTGAAGCTTTAATGTGAGGTGCTGCAGTGAAAACACTATGTTCAAACACCATTTTGGTCTTTTTGGTTTCCCTCCTTTTTTGTCTAGTGTAAAGACAGCATTAAAAACACACTTAAATGTTGCTTTTGTCACAGTTTATTAATTTGTTAAATTTAAATTATAATATATTCAAAAAATTAAAAAGTTTACTCATTTTTTTATCTTTAAATTCTTCAGCACTTACATCCCATTAATTATATTTTTACAATACTCCCCAATCAGTATTATATATTGTTTACATTCATAGATATTTATATATTTACATTTCATAGTTATACCTTCGTCACTTCTGTGTACATATGTGTATTTATATGTCATGTGTATGCTATGTGTATGACTTCACTTTGGACGGCAAAGTAAGAATTTCTGTGCACATGACAATAAACAAATTTAATTGAATTGAATATTAAGAAGCAACAAGAGGGATATTTTCATGCATAATAAGTTTGATTATATTCTTCATTACACAATAAAAAATACTATAATATGTCATAAATGAAAGAAAAAAAGACGCAAGAAAAAGATACACAAAGTGCATGCTTTCATCCATTTCATGTTTAGGTACCTAAAAGTTTACGTTTGCGCTAAAATTTTTAAATAATATAGAATATGCATATTTAAAGGTAACATATTTTTGATAAATTTAGTTTTTTATTTTGTAAAAGTTTAAAAGTATGACATATATAGCCTATTTTAACTCACTCACATTTATTGTTTTACATTTACTGTTCCAGCTAGCACTAATTTCATGCATTTAGTATAGTAGTATACAATGTGTTCACTTAACCTTCAGTTTCTGTTAAAAATCTAAACAAAATATGTTTTTTAGAATTTGTCCGAAAATTGAGATATGACTGAAATTTTATATAAAGTAGTGATGATACCCAATTGATCTTTAAGAATAATCAATGGTTAGCAGCCTGGAGCAGCTCAATATTTATGTTATCAGTCTCAACTAATCTCTTTGGAACTTATTTATTTATTTAAAAAAAAATTTAAACAGGAAAAGATTAAAAGATAATCAGGCCTGACTCAGCATGCATGCTGTTTTTCAGCAGGTTCCTGCTCTGCAGAACTTAAAAACAGACAAACATCTCATCCATCAACACAGTACAAACAATCACCAAACATATAAAATAAAGAAAAGCAGGCTACTATCTCAGTGGCTACAGCGATAGTTGACCATCAGATGACGAGCATGGGATTTCTTAAAAAGTCTCAGTGTTGGTATTGTTTTGAGATGTTGTGGGATCTCATTCCAGACTCTTGTGAAAACATAAAAGAAAGATCTCTGTCCATAACAGTTTTTAAAAGCCAGTACTGGCAAACATCCATTTGTTACAGATCTGGTGGAACGATCAGTCCTTGTGTTGAGTTTTGGTACCAATGCACAAAGGGCTGCTGAGGTAGAGCTATTTAAAATTTGGTAGTACAGTTTGATACCTGTGTTCATAATGTAATTTTGAAATGTTAAAGCTTTAGAAAGTGATAGAGCAAAACAGTGATGTGTCCATCCAGAAAGTCTGTTGTGTATATAGGCCCTATTGTACAGTCTAGCTATTGGCTCCAAGATATCGTTTGTTGTGAGAGACCAAATAGGCAGACAGTAAGACAAGGTAGACAAGATTATGGCATGCAGATAAGTTTCTGAAACAGAAAAAGACAAATTAGTCCTAATTTTGCCATAAGCAAATAGCTTTTGTTTCAGCTTTTTATAAACATTTTGAACATGGTTACAATAAGTGAGGTGAGAGTCCAGACTGATTCCCAAATATTGATATGTGGATACAATGGAAAGTTTTTGATTTGAGAAAGTGAGAAATTTTATAATAGCACATTTATTATATTGAAAGACTTCTACAATTATGTTGCTAAATTTCAACATTACCTTTGCAGGTCTGCACTCAAAAATGGGCGTGGCCGAATTGAGGCTTCAGTCACGTTTATGAAGGTCCAAGCGCCCTCTGGCTGAACAGAGCTTCCTTTCCTTTAGGGAACGGTTATGAAGGGCTGTTGTTGCAACTCCTGACACCGTTGTTTAGCTTTTTTGGTTTCGTTTGTCACCAGGGGGGAAATGATTTCAGTGACACCTGTTTTAATTTAACGCAGTACGACTGACTGACTCTCATTTGTGCGGTAAGTGACGCGGCCTGTAATGTTGCCTTTGTTTATTTTTATGTTTTCAAACAAGTCGGCAGATGATTTATTGTTTGCATAATTATCCACGATGCTGGCATATATTGTAAAGTTAAATAAAAGAAGCCGTCATTATATTAGCTGTTTTTGTATAAAAGTTTCAATTTGAAACTACTAGAATCGGTCAACGATCACGTTGTATTTATTTTAGACACCACAATGATGGTGCAA